GAGAGAGAGAGAGAGAGAGAGAGAGAGAGAGAGAGTGCTTACAGAATTTCTGCAGCGATTAAGGGTGTCACTGGTTGGTTGGAATAGGCCTGGGGGTGCCCGTGCGTGACTGCCGTCTTCGAAGAGCCAACGGCCGACGTTTCTCTCCCTCATGCGGAGCAACTATTTCGGGGTGTTCGGGTTTTTGGCCGCGCGGCAATCCCAGCAAGGAAAGTCTTTTGAAAAAGTATCCAACGAACTTTTATGAGGAGTATTTGAATATTTCGTTGCCGACGGTTTTCTGGGTCCTATTCCGTTTATTATTTCTAGAAACAATGTGTGCAACCACTTTGGGGTAGTTGACTTGTGACCACTGGAGGCGTCCGCGCCAGCTGGACCGGTACGGTAGGAATGTTCAGAGGGTAATGAGCGGAGAGGGTAATGAGCGGAGACCGGAACGATTGTTGTGTCGAGACGGCAAGTGCCAACAACGTGCTCGTGTTCAAGAAATTGATGACTTGGTAAATAAGAACGATGTTGATAAGACACTCTTGTGTGACATGTGGTACGCACACGGTGCTTGTTTTTCAAGGTCGGATGCAACGTAGTAGACGTGTGCATTGACATTGCTTCGAGCCTTCTTTCGACGTTGGAGTTCTCGTGTTGCTGCGTTTTCGAGGCCGTCGAAGTGTGCTACTGTGTAAGGAAGGGGGCATGTAGTAATTGCTCGGCTTGGGCATTGGCTAGAAGAAGAGCGGTGCGGGGGGGGGCTCCGTGTTTTTGTATGTTCTGTAAAATCATAAGGTTGGGCGAAGTATGGGTCAAGGTGTGTAGCCATCACGAAACATCGTCGTAATATTATTGCTATTTGTATTTTGATGTTTGTGGAGTGTGTGATCGAGAGAGAAAAGAGAAAGAAAGACTGGGAGAGAGAGAAAGAGAGAGGGGAGGGGGGGGGGGGTCACGACGACAAGCTCTCCCGCGTCTGGTATAAACGTGAATGATCTCGATTGTGAACAAGAATGTGACGTCTTCTCATGTGAAACTAAGAGCTTGGGGCGAAAGTAAAGCGAGTGAAACGGCTGCGACAGACTGGTGCACGAGATTTCGTCGCAAATGCAAATATACTACGGGCGGAGCCCGACCAACTACCAACCATGCCGCTGCCGACATCCATTGGAAGGCAGCTATCTCGAAGGTGGCGAGCACGCGATAAGTCGGAGAGGCGATTACCTCAACCCACGCATCTCATTCGAAACGCCCAGGTGAGGCGAGCCGATGCCAGAAAACACAGCAGCATCCAGAGACAAGATATTATGATATTACTAATGACGACACGGGCAAGGCGGCCGGCCTTGTAGTACTGCCTTACGTTCCCCTCCGATATGCGAAGAAAGTGAATATTTTCGAGCCCTCGCTAACCATGTGCACCAGCACCCCTAAGGCGTACGAACATCAAGCGAAGTGTTTACCTATGCATGCCAAGACAGAAAAAGGAAAAAATTGGACAGCATCGACATGGGGCTCTCCCACCGCCACCTCCATCTACTAAGCATGACACCTACCACCACACGACTCTATCTTGTCCCCTTGTGTACTACCGCAAAAAGTACAGGGAGCGTTCGTCTGTGTCGCAGACCTTCAAATGCTACCACGAACGAGTGCTCAGCAGAAAAAACAAAAAACGCACTAAATAGGCGAAAAAACAGATAAGGTGCCCGCAGTTTTCTGATTGGTCAATTTTTTTTGAAAGGAAATTCTGATTGACCAAAAATCCCTGGTCGACATGTGACGTCACCCACGGTCGGGAAGTCAAGTCTCTCCGGGGAGATTCAAAAATTCAAATTTGCAGTGGATGACTGACGGATGATTGATGATAGTCTAATAGCTTCATCATCCACCCGGAGAAGCGCCGACCCCATGCATGCAACACACACACACTGCTGCCCCCTCACGGGGTCCCAGTTCATGGTGTAGATAGAAGTGTTTTGTGTTTTCAATCGCACTAAGACTGACGTCTTTTCATTGGTCAGCCGGTTAGCGCGGTCGATGCTAATAATAAAAGCACACACAATAAGCACGACCCACGAATGAATATAGCTTCTCTGGGCAACCTAGTCGGCACCCTTCCTGCGGTTATAGCCGCGTTACGGGGTCCATTGGGAGAGTCGGTGAGAGTTCGGATACCGGGAACCGTGTTGGTGGAGCGGATGGGGGACGCTATCAAAGAACTCAACCAGGAGCATGGAGTATCGGTGGAGATTCTGAAGGGGATCCTTCCCCCGTCATGGGTTGAGTGGGCCTTAGAACCGACAGGAGAAACCGGAAGACGTCAGCCCACCGTTGCAGAACGGGCAGCACACGATGGGGAATCTACTACGCCGAGGAAAGCCCAGCACAAACTGGGCAAGGCGATTAACAAGATACAACTTGAAAAGTTCATGGAGTCTCTGGAGCACCTCCCCCAGGAGGCGGTACCACCCACGCGGGACAACCCCTACGGAGGTCAAGAGGCCAGGAACATGGCATACGCACGAACGAGAAGCTCGCAAGGGCAAGGGGGGCACGCGTTCCTGAGAGCGGCTCCCACCGACCGAGCTCGAGAGATTCCATCGAACGAATTCGTCTACGCGACGAGACGCGCCTTGGGAGTTGAAGAATTCTTGGCGGAAAGATGTCCCAGGTGCCACAGAGGCAGGGAAGGCGAGATCATCACAACGGTGCACGCAAGGACCTGTCGAAGGGATGGAGCACAGGTCAACATGCACGAGCCGTTAAAATACGCACTATCGAGAGCACTCAACGGCCTTCGCGTCAAACACGACGTTGAAAGCGGGGCACCGTTCACGGGGGAAAGAAACCTGAGCATGGACATCGTCATCAGGCCAGGAGCCCTCACGAACGCATCTTCTCCGGGGTACCGCAACAAAGGAATACTCCTCGATGTCACACACGCAGACCCGCAAGCACAGGTACACTTGCGGAACGGCAGCGCGACCAGCGATGGAATCGCAGCCCAAGCATCCGAGGCGCGAAAGCGTCAGCACTACGCTCGTCCGGGACACGTGTCCTTTGACGAACGCAGCTTTAAACTTACCACCTTAGCCGTGGAAAGCTTTGGCCGCCTTGGAGAGGAGGGTTACGAGTTCATCGATGAACTTGCGACACATGCCGTGGGAGGAAGGGACGGAGGAACGATGGCTCTGAAAGGAGTCTTCAAGGAACGACTTCTTCAGATCGTTTCGGTGGCTACACAGGTGGCCATATCTCGGCGAGTGCAGAGGTACAAGCTCGCATTGCGCGGGCGTCAAGACGCCGAAAACAGGCGAACAAGATCGACCTCGGACCAGTCAATGCCAATGATATGGGGATGGAGTGTAGACGCATCGTAGAACGCGTTTTCGTTTGAAGTTGGCGTCTTGTTTTGAGAGTAGATGTGACAGATTTGCGTAGAATAGGGTAAGATGTTATCATGAACGGAGATGAAAGGGCTTTTCCAACACGGAGATGTGGCATGGATCAAAGCATTTGTTGGATTTCACCTTTTACAAGCGGACATCAACGCAGTAGTATTTTAGCAAGCTTACGAACGCACATAGGATACCATCAGGATTGTCATTGGTAAGTTGAAGAGGAGATACTTTTACGATGTAAATGACAGTAGAAATAAGTCCTACATATATATGTTGTTGTACTTCGTATTGGTTGAATATTCATGTAGAGTATAAGACATTTAGTGAAAGTTTTCTGAGGTACATCTGCAATTGTCGGAAGGCAAAAATAAATAAATAAATATATATGACCCACAAATGAACATGTACGTTGAAGAGGGTGTACATCTTGACGGGAAACAAGATCAGGTAGTTCTCGTTGTTGTCCTACATCCTCCCAGCCAGGCTCTCTTCTTGCTACCTCTCTCTCCGTCGCAGCGAGGGAGGAGGCATCCATCTCCTATTATCTGTTCATGTCACCCTCACGGCGACGATCGAACGCGCTTGGACGGTCGTTCGCTGGTTGGGCGGTGATGATACCCACCCACACGCTGCGACTACATACATCTCCGAGGGTGAATATGTTAAACTTGGCTTGATCGCGCCTCTGTTCGTATACGAGAAGAGGACACAGGTGGTTGAGTCCTTGTGACTGCTGCAGGCAGGATGCCTTGGATGATATCACTCTGTGCGGAAATAATGTACTGTACCTGGGATTTGAATTGACGAGAACATAGAGAGGTGGGATACGAAAAAACTGCTGTTGTTGTGCAGGACCCTGCAGACTGTTGTGTTGGGTGCTGCTTCTACAGCTCTCCAACCCTCTGAGGGCGCCTCTTCGCTCAGCAGAACTACCCGTTCTTATGGCTCTGCTGTAGTCTACATCATCCGCAGTCTCTCCCAAAGAGTGTGAAATTCTCCCTTTTGACAGACCCGCTGACACTAAACAACATATTCGCCTGATTGAGAGCGTAGCATCTGATTGAGAGCGAGATTGCGCGATACGCTGTAGCCGGACTACCACTGAGAGGTGGAGCTTGCTGTGTAGCTTGAATTGAAGGGCTAGCCCGTAGCTTCAAGCCGCTACCCTGGTCATCCTGTGGGAGTCTCTCGTTGTGGAGCTACAGCGGGGAGCAGAAGCTACAGCAGAGCCCACCGCCCGACGCGATACCGCCCTGAAACAGTTTGAGCAGAAATAGCCAATCTGGGCAAATCTAGCAACTTGTCTAGCTCCTCGCTGCAGCATCCGATGACGATGACACGCATATGCTCGCGAAGCTGCTGATGAGACCTTCAATTTGCACCGCTTCTTGGAATAGCCCGTCCCCTACTTGCCAAGAAATGGCAAGAGGCGTCTGGACCCGAAATTTCAATTTTTTTGGCTCTCGCTCTCAATCAGATACTTCGCTCTCAATCAGGCGAATATGTTGTTACTACTAGACGCTAACCCTTCCGGTGGGGTGTCAAGGAAGACAAGATTCCGGAGCTTATTTTTCCAAATTCTGATCGCTGGTGCTTCAGGCGGCGAGAGCAGGTGCAGACCTGTGCTTTCGCAAAATTACGGCGTTGAAGCTTTCACGCACATCGTGGGGATGCCGCGGAAAAAAAGCGCCTCGAAAAATACACAATCAAGTAGGAACCAGTTGTGCCGCAAAACCTCCGAATCCCAGCTACATTTCCGCACAGAGTGGTATATCATTGAGGGCCTCTACCGCTTCCTCTCTCCGAGCTGTATCCACAACAAGCAGGTTGGATAATCAACACGAAAATTGCGTGTGTACCGGCGACCGACTACCGGCCGAAAACAACCCACAGCATGAGACTGTTCCTGCCACCTCTCCGTGCTTGGCCATTTTTTCACATCCCCGACACCCAAGGCTTCCAGGACTATAGAACTCCTTCAACAATTTGAAAGCTCTGGAAGTTTCAAACCTCTACGCGCAGACTCTACAGGTGGGCCTGCTACCCCCCTTACCCTCGCATCTCCTACTCACCCTGCTGTCGCTATTGTCGCCAAAGCTGGGTTCCCTGCTCCTCTTCCCAGAAGATTTCGCGGGTGTAGTCTAGGGTGGACATTGTTCTCCTAATCATGAAAGAGTGAGACCGGTCAGTCACCAAACAGTGGAACGATGAACATGGCATGTACCGAGATTCACGTTTTCGTGTATGGCAACACCAACTGACCTCCAATGTAGACTTGAAGCTGTAAGCGATGGTCATCGTAGGGTCGTGTCTGACGGGAGGGTGTTTGTGGACGGTGTGTGTAAGTGAAGCGGGGGGGGGGATGTCCGCGATCACTGGGTGAAATTGAAAACAATGGAGGCGTTACGGCTCGTATCAGCGAATTCGTTCATCAGCGCTTCATACTAGTGCATGATCTGGAACACCATCATCCTCGCAAATTGGCTTTTCCAAGAGTCTAAACCTGTTTTCGCGGAATACGGACAGTGCAATTTTGGAGAAGCGATGATAGATTCACAGTAGATTCACAGGATACCTCGTGAGGCGAACTAGGTGCTGGCCTGTTTGGTGGTTACGGGGTCAGAACTCCGCGACCGGACTCCGTTGCTTTCGTTCCCCGAGGAGGTGAGACCGGGCAGCCCTGGAAAATATGTACAAGAGGCACAATAACACAGCGGGCAAGTGGAAGGAGTCAAGTGCTGCACCGCTAACTACTCGGTCTGAGAACAGAAAGGGAACAAATGCATCCGCGCTCACCACACTGGACTTCGACAAGGATGGACGCGTTTCTTGTGTGTTTGATATACTCGTAGCATAGTATGATGGTTGAATATGGGGCATTGATCTACGGAGATTGTAGTTGGTAGATTGTGGAAGAATAGGAATAATTTGTCCTTGGTTTCTTCGGAGATTTGATGAGTGGTCTGAATTGCGTGATGGATAGGTGTGGTGACGCACTCTGCTTTCGCTCCTCTTGCGCTTCTCTTGCGCTCCTCTTGCGCGAGTGCAGACTCGGTTTCGACCCCTTCTTATACAAGACCTTTCCATCTCGGCCCTCACTGGCCGAGCTTCCTTTTTCCACAAACCTACAAGCTTCGGCCCACCCGGTTTATCCAGCATGGTGCACATTGAGAGGATATGTCACGTCAAGCTGGGGCTGTTCATCTTCAAACGGGAAGATGGAGGGGGAAGCGATCTAGTCTACGCCTTGTTGGAGATACGTGGCGCTAGGCGTGGTACTTTGAACCTCACCGGCACGACTGGTGGATTCCTTATCATCTACGGGAGTGAAAACGAAGGAGCGAGAGTAAGAGTGAAATGGAGCGTAGCGGAAGCTCACCTTTTCCATCCTTTTCCTTGGAGTTTTGGCCGGAATAAGGTGGAAGTGGTGATCACCTGCTGACGAATGAACAAGTAGCCGCGATGAGGTTGAAAGAGACCTCAGTTCACTGAGTGTGGTCGGCAGGTACCCTCGCCTCTTGGGATTTCATCTACCTCTGCGACACTAGCATTTTGTGAGACTGACCAGAAACTAACTCTGTTTCCTCGAACCATGTCGGTCCGACAAGACCCTCTACCCTGACCACCTAACCAGTTCTTGTCTGCTCCCGGCACTGCCAGAAGGAAACACTGAAGATTTATTGCATAGCTATCCCAGCAACGAGTCTACAACGTCTATTAACCCGCTGAGTCGTTCTCCCTGTTTCACAGTTTCTTGTGTTCACAACGGATCAGGTGTGTTTGTGCGAATCGTACCAAAGAGCACCCGCACCCAGGCAGTAGATGCGGCGGCGGTGATAGCTCTCTGCTTCCTCGCAAATGGTGTTTTCTGATCGCCTCGTCGACCACCAGGATGAAGTGGAGTGTGGGCAAGGCTCACCAGGATGACGCGGTGTGTGGGCAAGGCTTCCTGTGTGATGAAGTGGGGTGTGGGCGAAGCTCTCTAATGAACTACTGTCCACTCCCGGCTCACAAGGGAAGACATCCCTTGCCTTCTCTGGATGAACTCTGGCGTTCTCGTGTTCGTTATTCACTCGTGGCCGCGCTTGCGTATGTATGAATACCCTCCACCCGTTTCTTACAGGATTGGACACCAACAAAAGTGCCGACCAAGATCAAGAAGGGCCTGGCGTTCTTCCCGGGTGCGGTGAGCGTGCAGACGTTCAGCGAAGGGGAGCGCGAACACATCGAGTCCCGACTGGTGTTCCAGCGAGTGTATGACAGCGTGGACATCATCTCCAACGGGAGGCCGGTCGAGAGAGGGATAGATCTGGACAAGGCGCCTGTCCTAGCTGGCGTGATCGACCAGATGACCGGCCTGGTTGGCACGCGGCTTGACTGCGTGCACGTAACAACGCGAGAGGGCGGTCAAATCCACACATCGCATTCGGACAAGATAAAGTTCGATTTACGCGGCACCGTCCACCTTGGCGCGGACGTCCTCCTCGGCGGGCAAGTAGCCTCCACCAAGTCCACAGGGGACTTCGTCCTCAGCAGCGGCGGCCTGTCGCAGCCCGTACAACTTCGGATGCGGAGTGGGGACGCGTACATCGCCACCGCCGAGGTCCTTCACGCCCCCTTCTTGCACGGAATCAGCACCCCGGACCCAGCAAGCCTGTCGATTGTTTGAGGTCACGACGAGGGAGCGTGTTCCGCCGAGGAAAGTCACGGCACGGATCCGGCAGCCGGGGGACTTCACCGGCGGCGTTTCGCTGTTCCGGGCACCCCCCGAGGAGCGGGCGTCCGCCTACCACTGGCTCGGCACCGTGCATGGCTCAACCGGAGGTAGGGTTGTTCTTGATTTTACTCGAGTAGAGTACCGAAGCGACGGCCAGCTACGAAGACACAATGCTGTCTTTGAAGGAAGTTCTTGCTGTTTGGAAAGAATTAGATGAATGAACGAGTGAGTGAGTGAAGTTGTGCTTGTGTGTTGTCCTGTGTCATATGTCCCCCGTTGTCCCAGTGCACCCAGCCTTCTCGTTTTTGTTTCATTTATGTCTGGTTGGGTGACAAGTGTACGATACCTCTGTTGTTGTTGTTGTTGTTGTTGCCGCCAAAGCGTGCTGTTTGACTTTTGGAATGAAAAATTGACAGTCGATCGAACAGAACGCGATGCCTTAAGAGCGAGCAACTGGAGCATGGTTGGATTGAGCCTATTCCCCCCGCCCGTCGTGTTCGTTGCAGGCGAGTTCGCAATCAAGAAAAGGAAGCAACACATCGAAAAGTACACGGACGACTGCTCACGGGGAGGTGAGTTTCTGTTCGTGCGTTGTTGTTGTTGGCGCAAAAGGAAGCGTGCTATTTGACTTTTGGAATGAAAATTCGACAGTCGATCGAACAGAACGCGATGCCTTAAGAGCGAGCAACTGGTGCATGATTGGATTGAGCCAATTGCCCCCGCCCGTCGTGTTCGTTGCAGGCGTTTCTGTTTTGTGTTGTTTCATTCTCTGCATCCGTTCCATTCCGACCCGCCCCGCCTTTCATGATACAATAGTTTACCCGACGCAACCACCTCATCACCGCCCCCTGCTTGAATAAAAGGATACCAAGAAGTGCGTCGGACCCGTTGAATGAAACTATATGCTGTGGCCTCTGGGTCCAACCTGCAATCGTGTAAATTATTGTTGCTCCCGGTAAAGCCTTCCCTGCCGCATGATGAACACATCAATGCTACAACGCCACATTGTTCATCTCATGATGTTACCCTGGCAACGAATGGTGTTGCAGGGCGGAATGGCCTGACCGCCGAACAGTGGGCGAACCCTTCCACGGAGGAGCAGACCAAAGAAGGAGAAGCGCATCGAAGACAACAGCAACGCGGGTGAGAAGGGCGGTGCAGCTCTGATATCTAGGTTGTGGTTGTTGTTGTTGAAGATCAGCGGTAGGACCAATCGGCACGCTCTGTTTGTTGTTGTTGTTGTTGTTGTTGTTGTTGTTGTTGTTGTCGTTGTCTTTATACGGTCGAGCAAATGCCGCCCCCGCCTTTCATGATTTGATAGTTCACCCGGCGCAACCACGGCACCCCGCTCCTGCTTCATTTAATGCGTTGATAGTAGGGCATGCGATTTGACCGTTCGAATGAAATCGGGGTCAAAGATGAATATTGCTTGTGTAGTTTCGCACATATTCTCTCTCTTGTCATTCGCTATTCCCTGTTTCGTGGTGTGGCCATTACCTGTTTCGTGGTGTGGTGACTTGTGCGGTACAGACGAGGAAACCGCGATAAAAACCCGTCGCTACAATCACGCTATCGTAGACATGTATTGGTAATCGATACGAAACGATCGACCATTTCGTTCACGACCCACAGGTAAGAGTGGAGACCCGGACAAGAAGTCAGCCGGAGCCAAGACCGGTCGGGGGAACGTCTCGGGTTCCACCGTGCCCTACGCCGATCGTCTCGAGGATTTCCCGGACCTCCCTCCCCTGTGTTCGAACCCGAAGTGTGAGGAGGACTGGCGATCCTTCAAAGGCGCGAAAGCGAGCAATGGTGGGCAGATGGGCATCCCGCAGGGGATAGTCGATCACAAAACAAGGTGGTTTTCCTGCGGGAGGAGCGGCATAGCAAGTGTGGAAACTGCCGGTGCAAGCCCCCGAAGGGTGCAACGGTGACTCTAGATGGCGATCCGTACGATGTCAAGTCAACGCAGGACAGGCAGCTCAGGAAATCGGCGCAGCGGACCACCACTCGACGCGATGGTGGTTAGAGGCTGACAAGCGGATGAGGTTGCGGGGGGGGGGCATTTCTTGTCGGCCAACCCCCTTGACCCTGGTTTTGGGAGTTGCGGCGGTTTGTGGACGCCAGTCGTGGGCAGCAGTTTTGTGTGATCACGCCAAACAATGTGACGAAAAGAAAAAAGTCTCAGTTCGTGTAGATAAGTGTTCCTTGTTGTATGATGCTGCAGCGGTGATGTCACTTGGCACGATCGCCCTCCTCATGTTATGTACCAATACAGGTGCATGTTTGTATGGTCGTGCATGTATGTGTTGCCGATAGTATCGCCCACCCCATAATTTGTTCCGGGCATAGGGTAGAGAGAGAGAGAAAGAGAGAGAGAGAGAAAGAGAGAGAGAGAGAGAGAGAGTTTGAAACATATCTTGTCATCAATTTTTCCATTGCGTAGAGTAGGTCGGTAGATGCAGTGTGCACTGGCTCTACCGGGGTAGCCCAAAAGCTGTTGTTCTGGTTTTGGGAATCCTCCTTCAATGTGTGTGTGTTCGTGTGAAAACAGGGGGATTGTGCAACACAAAGCCCCAATCAAAGTGGAGAAAAGAAAGGTGTTTCTCCCGGGGCGGTAGTCTCAGTCAATAGGACGTGTTTGAACATTTTGTTTCATACACACGATATCGGTGGTGGTAGTGTGAAAATTTAGTGTGTGTATGTGTGTGTGTGTATGTGTGTGCGAAAACTGTGTGTTTGTGCAACACAAAGCCCCGATCAAAGTAGAGAAAAGAAAGGTGTTTCTCCCGGGGTGGTAGTCTCAGTCAATAGGGCGTGTTTAAACGTATTGTTTCATACACAAGATATCGGTGAACATTGCGTGAAAACTGTGCGAAAATTGGAAATTCGGTGAACATTGTGTGAAAACTGTGTGAAAAATGAAATTTTGGTGACATTGCGTGAAAATTTAGTGTGCGTGTGCGCGCACAACACAAATCCAACGATTCATAGTCTTTGCACAGTCACTGAGAAAGGAAGGACATCGACGACGAAAATGCTAGTGGATTGAAGTCACATTGTCCACTGCATTAAATTATCGTCGTTGATCCCTTCTACTTTTACAACCACACACTTGCGATTTATGGCAGGCGAGCTCGGACCACCGCGCGCAACTTTTACCTATTCACCCCAATCAAACTCGTGGCCCGTGAATACGTTATGACTAATCACGACGTGGAGCGTCTTTAAATTGCTGAATACACGGAATCCGGCTTCTTCAGGAAGCAATTTTCTGGCGTACAAATTAACTGATTTACTAAATCGATGGTTTGCCTCGGCGGGCGGTAGGCGGGATGTATCTTTCATTCCGCGCAACCGATCGACACCCCCCATAAAGTGTTCGTATTCGCATAATAATGGTATCCGACAGCTTCCTCCACCAGCCATGACATCTACCTCGTGAGTGCCGTGATTACTGGGCGAAAATTGGACCAATAAGTTCTGGCAGCGACCTCCCAGAGGCAAATGATAACGCGCACGCCAATTCGAGGTAGTGTGCTCTAGGATATCTAATGATTGCTACCATGAGATCGATAAGATCGCTTGCGTTCACTCTGATGCTCTTCTCGCACTTCGCTGCCAAGGGTTCTCGACGTCTTTTCCTTGGAAGGCTCTTTTCTTCCGGTGTGAGTTCCAGCTGAGAGACGTAGGGTGGGAGTATATTTACCTTTCGCAGGAGCTCATCTATTTCAAAGACCCCAGTGAGGACTTCTTCCGTGAGTAAACGGTATTTCGCGCTGCCCATTTGCCAAACAAATCCGATTTCGCGAACAAAACGATACATTTCTCGGCCATTTTGAGCTGTTTCAAGCTGTGTTTCTTCCTTGATTCATTTGAGGTTTTCTTGGCCAGCGACGACGCCTTCCTCTGTATGACTTTCAAAATACGCTTAATGTCCTTCCTGATGGTGCCATCGTTATAGCTGGGACCGCATGCTTGCATCCATTCTCGCCTGACTCGCCGGACATTCTTGTTGAGAGAGCCCGGATGCAGGCTTCTCAAGACCTCGAGTACATGGACCGGGTCTTTGTTACCCTCTAGCCACCTCGCACACTGTGAAATAAGGTCGTTCATGATTGAATTATTGATATACACACCACATTTATTATTTCCCGAGTTTATTGTCTTAAATGCTACCGGTCGACCACGGGACAATCAACTTGTCTTCCTCTTTTTCGACTTCCCTCTCCCTAGGCTTCCCCTTGCTCTGTTGCACTTTAGGCACTTAACGTCCACGTTTCCGATGGTGTGGGGCAAAGCACAGTCAAGGCGGTCACAAGTCGGTTGCCGTTCGCTATATACGGTCCAGATAAGTTCATGGTTGCACAAGTTGTACCTTTTCCCATAGGAGCGGTGGAGTTCTTGGACGAGAGCTTCTCTATGCTGCCCCCCCTCATCAGATTTATACGCCCAGCCGCAACGTCGGCATAGATGTAGTTTGAAACCTTCCGAGAAACCCACGATACTCTCTCTCGATCGGACATGTCGCTTTCGCTCCGGTGAATATCGTCGATGACCCTCACGTTCGAAGGTCCGGTCGCTCGACTGACAGCCGTGTACAGCCAGTGGACGCCAGCGTGACGGTGCCGGGCCTGATGTATGATCAACCTCCCTTCCACGGTACGGCCTTGGACCGCGTGTACTGTGCATGACCCTGGAGGATCAAAAACGTTTTCTGCCTCCGCTCGACAGAGTGATCCTCAAGACTAGCACCATCGTCAAATGCACTCGCGACGACGACGGTATCTGCCGAGGATCGAATGACGTTGTACATGTGATTCTTGTGAACCGTGCCCGGGTTCCCGAGGTCCCGGTATTGCGCACCAACCACCGTCTGACACCCCAGCCCATCCCAGTCCCCAGCTTCGTCGCACCCCAGCAAACCTCGAAAGGCGTGGAATTGAGCACATTCCCTTGTATACGCGAGGTGAAAATCTGAGGGGCTAGGATTTTCGATGTGCTCCCCGCCAAACCTCTCGATGGCTTGAGTCTGCGCCTCGTCACTGTCGTTTCCTGCGGCCAGAATGTGCAAGAGGCCATCATCCATCTCCACCTGGTCTTCGAAAGCTTTGTCTCGCTTGCGCGCGAAGACATGGAAACATGTGGGGAAGGCTTTTTCGAGGATGACCTTCCTGTCGACGTTGTCCCTGCTAGTCGACATGCTGCTGCTATCGCAAACGGGCTGGAGTTGACGCGTGTCGTATGTCCAGATCACGTGGGTACCGCTGCATATGGGCAGCCTCCAGGATCATGCTNAGTACCATCTTTTCTTGTACCGACGAAGATCCCCTGAAGAATACCGCGTCACACTGGTAGCTAAAGTCGGACGCTCCGCATGATTCGAGAGCGTTCCTCGCCTCCAACACTCGCAAACGAGTTTCNCGACGAAGATCCCCTGAAGAATACCGCGTCACACTGGTAGCTAAAGTCGGACGCTCCGAGAGCGTTCCTCGCCTCCAACACTCTCAATCGAGTTTCGTCGAGGGTGAGGGTTCCCAACGCCCAGAAGCCATCTCTATACCAGGTCCGTTCTGCGTCGAAACAAAGATATGCATTACCGGTGCGAAGTGAATCGATTCCAAGGTCCCCTTGTCCCGTCCGAAGCTCGGCCTTGACGCGATCGACTTCGCACAGAACAGGGACGATTTTTCCACCCACAGCCGAAGCCTCGTCACTGCTCGTAACCATGACGGCATCTATCCTGTCCGCGTATCTCTGCTGCAACAGACCGCTGGCCCGCACGAATATACCGTTTTTGAATCGGCGTGCACAGTCGGCATCCTCGAGGAGGGGATCACCCAGCTCATGCGCTAGCAGGTCTTTCACAAGTTTGGGTATGTGGCACCTGCTGACCGTTCTGGATGGTCGCACGAAGTGGGTGACTCTATAGCGAGGCGCGTTGTCGATGAGGTCGAGGTAACGCTTGTAGTTTCGACCGAAGACGGGCGTCACATCCGCATTATGGAATACGTCTGGCTCACCGAGCGCGTCTAGCTTGACTATGTACAGCGTCCAATCCTCGATGTTGTGGCCATCGAACTCCTCCACCTCATCCATGTGGCCAAAAACGGGCACTGTCTCCATATTCATCAGAGCCGCCGTGTGTGCCCCATTGATGTCACATTGCCAGTCTTCCCTCCCGTAGGAACTCCCGGACGCGTCCTCTGCCCCGACGATCGGCCCCCGCCAGCACACCTCAAGGAGGGCGAGCAGAGACTTGCTGTACTGACTCGATACTCGGAAATCCAATACTCCGCGGCAACTCCAGACTCAGGGCATTATGCAGCTCGATCAACAATCGTNTTGATGTCACATTGCCAGTCTTCCCTTCCGTAGGAACTCCCGGACGCGTCCTCTGCCCCGACGATCGGCCCCCGCCAGCACACCTCAAGGAGGGCGAGCAGAGACTGGCTGTACTGGCTCGATACTCGAAAATCCAATACCCCGCGGTGGAACTTCAGACCCAGGGCATTATGCAGCTCGATCAATCGTGTTGCCTGGTCGGGCTCGAAGTCATCGGGATCGAGCCCACCCATGCTCGCGCTGCACCAGGTTCGGATGATTAAGCCGTGCGCTGGTAAGGACAGTGAATCCCAGCGACTGTAGTTCGTGAGTTTACCCTTCTTGCAAGAGACCCCACCGAGGTGTAGGTGGAGCATGAGTTCGTCGAGGGCCGTTCCTGGAGGCGCGTACCACGTCTTGCATTCTGATACCTTCCTCCCATGCTTCCGCTTTTTT